GTGTGACGTCTCCGCAGAGCTGCTCTCGGTCTATTCTCTCATTCACGACCAGAGTCCCTTTGTCTGTCTTCAGCTCGGTGTACTGGATGTTTTCTCCGGTCACGATACGGGCCCCCTGAACGGAGTCTTTTCAGATCCAAACCTAGATCCTGAGCTACATTACCGATTAGGGAGCCTTTCTTCATCTCTCCGGATTGCATATCGGATATGTCCACCGACCATTTGGTTGAGATACAAGAAGAAAACCAGCAGCAGCCAGTTATGTCTGCAGCCAGTTCGCCATTTCACGCAAAGACTGAAGGGAAGTATTCCACAAGCCATGATCCAAGAATCACACAAATACTATCGCGGCAATCCAAGCACACGAAATATCCTTCACAGTAGAACAATCTTCAGAAGGATGATTCTGGTTTGTTATCATCCGAACACAGATGTCAGATAATACGAGTCTTTTCGCCTCTGTCAGCCCACATGAAGCACACTACCAATCGCTCTCTCACAGGATAGACTGGTGAGGGAGGGGACTGTTTAGTGATGCTCTGTAGCTTAAATTGGATTGACCAACAGCGTCCCTTAGAGTTCAAAATCAAGAATGCCATGTATCACAGAATAATTTCTGCAAATATTGTATGGTTGCTCTCATTTGACTAGAAAATGATACAAATAATTTATAAAAAAGTTCACATTCTATTTCTCAAAAAAAACCTTTGTAATAACAATTTCATTTCAGATGTTATTATTGATGTTTAGTCTAATTTGGTCACTAAGTGGAAAAAAAACCAATGCAATTTTCTTGACATTTTCTTAAATATAACGAAATACCGAGAAAGAACGAATGAAATGTTACAGTTAAACTACAAGTAGAAGGAGAAATTGAGAAAATTAGATAGAAAAATTATATGCAAATTAGTTTTCAACAATCACAAGTTGATTTCAATGATGTCACTACCAATGTGAAAACGTGTAATAAAACCCCCAAAGAAATCAGTAAGTACCCCGTATAAATTACACAGAATACGACGCTGTCCAAGGTGCTGAAAACAAAGGAAAAACGTCACCGGCCAATATATTTAAACACGGAAAAATACAAAGAGGCACAGAGGATGAATTATTTCGGGAAACTAACCTCTAGAGGAGAGTCTGGTTCATCCAGGATGCTCTTCTCACTCTGTATCCTCTGCATGGTCCCTGTAGAACTGGGGTCCATTATCAACACGTTCTGACTACCAGCTCTGCCAAACTTACAGTCACTCTTTCTGGAATCAGTCGTCCTGCACACCTCGTAATTGTACACGTGCTGGAGAGTCCCTGTGCCCAAAGTGTCTGAGTAACGTGGTGGATAATATGGAATCACAGGGAGGTTGGAGTGAAACAGGGTGCGAGACTGTCTCCATCTGTAGATTTTCACTGATATAATAACCACTACACACGTGATGAAGAGGAAGGACACTACAGCCAAAGCCAGCACTAAGTAAAAAGTCAGGTTGTCATTGTACTCCTTGTCGTGTGTAAAGTCAGTGAACTCAGACAGCACTTCAGGGAAGCTGTCCGCCACCGCCACGTTAACAATGACTGCAGCTGAACGAGACGGCTGCCCGTTGTCCTCCACTATAACAGTCAGTCTTTGTTTCACAGCATCTTTATCATTCACTTGGCGGATAGTTCTGATTTCTCCATTCTGTAAGCCCACTTCAAACAGCGCGCCTGTCTGTGGCTTTCTGCAGTTTATACGAGAGCCAGGCATTCTGTCCAGAGTCCACATCAACACACCACACTTTAGTCACCAGGTAGCCCACATCTGCTGCACGAGGCACCATCTCAGCCACCACTGATCCACCAGTCTGGACTGGGTACAGGACCTGAGGGGGGTTGTCGTTCTGGTCCTGGATCACCATTTTCACTGTCACGTTGCTACTGAGTGGAGGGGAGCCTCCATCCTGCGCTTTGACCACGAAAACCAGTTCTTTCAGCTGCTCATAATCAAATGAACGCACTGCGTGCACTACTCCGCTTTCTGCATTAACTGAGACAAAACCAGAAACTGGAGATCCACCGATATTAGTGTCTTCCAGAATATAAGATATTCTGGCGTTTTGGTTTTCATCAGGATCTCTGGCCCTTAGTGTGATAACAGACACACCTGGAGAGTTATTCTCTGTGATAAACGCATTATAAACACCTTGTGGAAACACTGGTGCATTATCGTTCACATCAGAGACCTTCAAATGAAAGGTTCTCTTTGACGAGAGAGGAGGCATACCTGCATCTGTCGCAACTACAGTGATGTTATACTCTGAAACACTTTCACGATCTAATACAGTATCTGTGACCAAAGTGTAATAATTTCTTAAATTGGATTTAATCTTAAAAGGTGCATTTTCTTCAATTCTACAGTTCACTTGTCCGTTATCACCTGAATCAAGATCTTTAACATTTATGATCCCAATAGTTGTTCCAGGAGGAGAGTCCTCTGACACAGGACTAGTGAATGACATCACGCTAACAGCGGGGGTGTTGTCATTCACATCACTAACTTCAATTATCACTTTGCAAGAATCCGTCAATCCTCCCTGATCCTTTGCCTCGATTCTAATTTCGTATTTTTTGTCCTTTTCATAATCAATTGAACCTGTAACTAGAATTACACCTGTTTTTCCATCTACTGTGAACATACTACGGAGACCACTGTTTAGGTCTGAAAAATAGTACGTTACAATACTATTTGAGCCAAAATCTGCGTCACTAGCATTAACAGTGGTAACGTAAGTGTCTTTTGGAGAGTTTTCCATCACTGTAGCTTTGTACACAGATTGGTTAAAAACAGGTGCATTATCATTGGCATCAAGAACAACGATATCTATATTTTACTGTACCAGATCTCTGCGGCGATCCACCGTCTACGGCGATCAGCTTGAGAGATAGTTTAGGATTTGTCTCTCTGTCTAAAGGCTTCTGTAACACCATTTCAGCGTATTTGTTTCCATCTGCATTCGAGTTTTGTTTCAGAACAAAATTATCATTATCAGACAGAAAATATTCTCTGAGTCCATTTACACCCACATCAGGGTCTTCTGCACTAGTCAATGGAAAACGAGAGCCAATATTAGCTATCTCACTGATTTCAAAATTGATTCTATCTCTTTCAAACGTTGGCGAGTGATCATTTATGTCTGTTATTTCAATTGTAATCTGATGTAGCTCCATAGGGTTTTCTAAAATCACCTCAAAGCTGAAACTGCACGGTGTGACGTCTCCGCAGAGCTGCTCTCGGTCTATTCTCTCATTCACGACCAGAGTCCCTTTGTCTGTCTTCAGCTCGGTGTACTGGATGTTTTCTCCGGTCACAATACGGGCCCGCCCTGAACGGAGTCTTTTCAGATCCAAACCTAGATCCTGAGCTACATTACCGATTAGAGAGCCTTTCTTCATCTCCTCCGGGGATTGCATATCGGATATGTCCACCGACCATTTGGTTGAGATACAAGAAGAAAACGAGCAGCAGCCAGTTTTGTCCGCAGCCAGTTCGCCATTTTACGAAAAGACTGAAGGTAAGTATTCCAAAAGCCATGACCCAAGAATCAGACAATTAATATCGCGGCAATCCAAGCAGACGATTTATCCTTCACAGTAGAAAACTCTAAAGAGGTTGATTTTGGTTTGTTATCATCCGAAAAGAGATGTCAGATCATGCGAGTCTTTTCGCCTCTGTCAGCCCACATGAAGCACACTACCAATCGCTCTCTCACAGGATAGACTGGTGAGGGAGGGGACTGTTTAGTGATGCTCTGTAGCTTAAATTGGATTGACCAACAGCGTCCCTTAGAGTTCAAAATCAAGAATGCCATGTAACACAGAATCAATTCTGCAAATATCATATGGGTGCTAGTATTTAACTGTTACATGTCACAAAAATAATAAAAATAAAATAAACCTTTTACTCCCAAAAAGACCCCTTGGAATACCAACTTATTTTATACTCATCTTAAAAAAAGACACTAGTTTGGATTTTAAGTCTAAATTCGCCACTAGGTGAAAAAAACATTGCAGTGCTCATTACAGGTTTTAAGAAATAATGAAATACCCCAAACATCTTCTATCTTTTACCAGGGTAACAACTACAACATTTTTTTTTCTCTTTTCAACAATCACCCGTTGATTTCCATTAAGTCACTCTTAATGTCACCAACACTGTGCAAAACATATGACAAAATAACTAAGTAGGAGGTACCCCATATAAATTACGCAGATTACGACGCTGTCCAAGGTGCTGAAAATAAAGGAAGAACGTCACCTACGAAAAGATTTATATCGGCACATAGGATAAATAACATCAGTAAACTAACCTCTAGAGGAGAGTCTGGTTCATCCAGGATGCTCTTCTCACTCTGTATCCTCTGCATGGTCCCTGTACAACTGGGGTCCATTATCAGCACGTTCTGACTACCAGCTCTGCCGAACTTACAGTCACTCTTTCTGGAGTCAGTCGTCCTGCACACCTCGTAATTGTACACGTGCTGGAGAGTCCCTGTGCCCAAAGTGTCTGAGTAACGTGGTGGATAATATGGAATCACAGGGAGGTTGGAGTGAAACAGGGTGCGAGACTGTCTCCATCTGTAGATTTTCACTGATATAATCACCACCACACACGTGATGAAGAGGAAGGACACTACAGCCAAAGCCAGCACTAAGTAAAAAGTCAGGTTGTCATTGTACTCCTTGTCGTGTGTAAAGTCAGTGAACTCAGACAGCACTTCAGGGAAGCTGTCCGCCACCGCCACGTTAACAATGACTGCAGCTGAACGAGACGGCTGCCCGTTGTCCTCCACTATAACAGTCAGTCTTTGTTTCACAGCATCTTTATCATTCACTTGGCGGATAGTTCTGATTTCTCCATTCTGTAAGCCCACTTCAAACAGCGCCCTGTCTGTGGCTTTCTGCAGTTTATACGAGAGCCAGGCATTCTGTCCAGAGTCCACATCAACAGCCACCACTTTAGTCACCAGATAGCCCACATCTGCTGCACGAGGCACCATCTCAGCCACCACTGATCCACCAGTCTGGACTGGTACAGGACCTGAGGGGGTTGTCGTTCTGGTCCTGGATCACTATTTTCACTGTCACGTTGCTACTGAGTGGGGAGCCTCCATCCTGCGCGTTGACTACCAGCTGAAGCTGTTTGATCTGCTCATAATCAAAAGAACGAACAGCGCTAATAATGCCAGTGTCAGAGTTTAAGGACACGTAAGTGGAGACTGGGAAACCACCAACTTGTGTGTTTTCTAAGATATATGAAATTCTCGCATTTTGGTTCGAGTCAGAGTCCAGTGCGTTAACAGTGATTATTGAAATCCCTGGTGAATTATTTTCTGTAATGACAGCATTGTATATTAAGTTATCAAATAAGGGGGGGTTGTCATTAATGTCAGAAAGAATAAGGTGCAACTTTATGGCACTGGAGAGAGGCGGGGACCCTGAGTCTGTGGCGGTTATGGTAATGTTGTATTCTGGCGTTTTTTCACGGTCAAAAGCTGAATCTGAAACGAGTGAGTAGTAATTACTCAAGGATGATATAATTTTAAATGGTAAACTCTTATCTACTGTACACATTATCTGTCCGTTGCTCTCTGAGTCCGCGTCTTTAGCATTAAACACTGCGACAGTCGACCCAAAAGGAGCATCCTCAGACAGAGGACTAGTAGGACTCATGACGTTATTACTTTACTAAGATCGTCACCCTCCTTGATCTTTTGCTTCAACTCTTATTTCATGTTTTTGTCCTTTCAAAATCTATTTGTCCAGAAACCGTTATTGTACCAGTGGTCTTGTCAATTTTAAATTTATCAGCCAAATTTCCCTTTAAATAGAAAATGCGTAACTCACCTCCCGTTTGATCCACTGTCAGCATCTGTGCATTTACGGTTATTACGTGAGAGCCTGATTTTGAATTTTCTAAGACAGTAGCTCTGTACACCGTCTGGTTGAATACGGGAGTTATCGTTTGCATCTAACACAGTAATATCATATTTACTGTACCAGATCTATGTGTGTTCCACCATCAACAGCTATCAGCTTAAATGAGAGCGAGGTTGCTCCTCTCTGTCTAAAGGTTTCTGCAGGATAATTTCTGCAAATTTACTGCCGTCTGGTTGGCATGCTGTTTCAGACAAAATTTCCTTGTGCTTAAAACATAATCTTGAAGTCCATTTACTCCTACATCTGGGTCATCCGCACTTTCCAACACGAAGCGAGAGCCCACAACAGCAGATTCGCTTATTTCCATCCGTATGTGGTTATTTCGGAACACAGGCGAATGGTCATTAACATCCAGTATTTCGACAATGATACGATGCAACTCGATGGATTTTCCAAAATAATCTCGAAGCTGAAGCTGCACGGTGTCACGTCCCCACAAAGCTGTTCTCTGTCGATTCTGTCATTCACAACTAGAGTCCCTTTGTCTGTCTTCAGCTCGATGTACTGGGTGTTTTCTCCCGTCACGATACGGCCCGGCCAGAACGAGCCTTTTCAGATCCAAGCCGAGTCTTGTGCCATGTTACGATCAAAGAACCTTTCTTCATCTCCTCTGGTATTGAATAACGAATTTGGCAATTTACCGCTGAACTGAAGAGAAAATAAGTGACTATCCATCTTGGCCACAGCGAGACTGACAGAAAACGCCATTTAAAACTGCAGTACAGCGTGAGTAGCCATGTCTGACTGAAAAACAAAACGCTTTTCAAAAAATAATCCTTAGAGAAATCACAAACCGTGAAAATGAATGTAAAAACGGTCGAAAATCAGTGCAGATGATCTATACGGTCGCTGTGTATACCACCGTCTATCTACCACAAGAACAAGACTCTCCTCTAAATCGAGACGATGAGGGAGGCAGTGCTCGGACAAACTCTGTAATTTTTTTTGTGAGCAACAGCGTCCCTCAGAGGAAATATATAAATAGTATTCAAGGCTGCTTACAAAAGGATTCGGTATTATCAAAAACAGACATGAAAACTAAGCACTCCTTGAGTGCCTGAATGCAATTCACAATGCAAGTCGTATTCGTCTTCCTACCCTATACCCGTATGCCATGCGTATAATAAGAGTGCCTATACATAGATAATAGCGTTATCAGTAAGTAAAAAAATAATAATAATAATAAAAAAATCTCGATGCTTGCACGGAAAGGATGAAAACACATCTTGAGGGGACTGACATTGAACATTAAGGTTTCGTTGAAGTGATGTCCAAACGGTAGGTGCTATAATGTTCCAGGCGGAAGACACTGATTAAAAAAATACTAGAAAAGAAACGTGAGAGAAGAAATTGAGAATTTAAGAAAGTTCTTTCATAAAAGTGACAGCTATTGATTATTATCCTCTTAGATAAGTCTGCCTTTCAAATCGGTATAAACGCAAACAATTACATTCCCAGTCACGCGTTTTGGTAAAGTAACAGCTAAATAACACAATGTGTACGGCATTACATGACAGGAAGGACCTGCAGAGGTGCAACAACGCAACACAGAAAACAAAAACAAAAAAAACGTCATCCTACACCTCCCGTTAGCAACGCAAGACATCCTGCATCATAAAGGACGTATCTCACCTTGGACAAAACCTTTTGAAAACGCTGTCATCAGGAGAGCGCTGCAGATCCGTCAAAGCAGGCCACCAAGAGACTTGAGAACATTTGTATCCAATAGCCAGCACCATAATGAACACAGGCTTTAAAGTCATAAAAGACACGTTGTAAAACACTGTCCCTTTGAATTTATTTCCCTTTGAATCACAAGTGAATGTGTGTGTATGTGTGTATGTGTAGTGTATGTGTTATGTATGTGTGTATGTATGTATGTATGTATGTTAATGTTCATCTTAACACTATAACAGGGAAAAAATATTTTGGAAACTGAGAAGCTGTCCAAGGTGCTGAAATGACATGTTAGACAAGACTTAGGTTCACCACGCTAAAATAGCAGTTTCAAAATCAAATTGATCTATCCCTCAACAACTAATTCACAGTATTGTGCTCTCCGTGGTGCTGAAAAATACGCAAAAGCGTACTTTACAAATGAATTGCGATACATAACGAATATTGGAGTACAGACATGAAGTTAATATGGTTTACCGACCTCTAGAGAGAGTCTGGTTCATCCAGGATGCTCTTCTCACTCTGTATCCTCTGCATGGTCCCTGTACAAACTGGGGTCCATTATCAACACGTTCTGACTACCAGCTGCCGAACTTACAGTCACTCTTTCTGGAGTCAGTCGTCCTGCACACCTCGTAATTGTACACGTGCTGGAGAGTCCCTGTGCCCAAAGTGTCTGAGTAACGTGGTGGATAATATGGAATCACAGGGAGGTTGGAGTGATACAGGGTGCGAGACTGTCTCCATCTGTAGATTTTCACTGATATAATCACCACCACACACTGATGAAGAGGAAGGACACTACAGCCAAAGCCAGCA